CCCAGGCAAAACAAGGAGTCCAAGCAGAAGCAGATGAAACTTCAGCAATAGTCTGCAGTGACCTAGTGTCGAATTCAGTTGCGCAGTATGAAATGTTATGGTACCGTCAGAGCCCATAACAAGCACCTCAGTATCTGCTCACAGTCAGCCGTTATGGATATAATGAAAAGACTCCCGGCATTGAACATGTCAGTGGGAATCTCAATCCGGCTGTAGGGAATTTTCAACTGCCCATGAAAATGTTGAAGATGACAGATAGCGCCGTGAATTACTGCGCTCTGATATCAACAGTCTATTCGGAACACTTCAGTCTCATACAAAAACTGAACGTCTGTTAAAATCAAGGATGAGTTCAAGGAAATGCAAGTGATCGTCTCCTTGACAATCTATGCAGGGAATCATAAATACATATGTACACAGGGGTAAGCGTAGTCCCTTGAGGGCTATCATGCTGCTCGGTCATTCAGTAAGATCATGATTGACCTGATCACGCCATCTACTCACCTAATCATTACGATTTCTCTCCCTTGGGTATCAAGACTCAGGCCACTTCAACAATAAAAATATGAAATGACTCTGCTTTGACTTACTTTTGGCGAAGAATAAAATTACAAACACTCATAATTATCCTTAAATCACAATTAAGAGTCAACAGCATTGCCTATTTCTGGAGCCACATTTAGGCCGAAACAGGTAACTTCAGCATCATTCTTTATCTAAAGGATGTTGATTTTTTTTTTAAATTTTATACCAATCGATGAACATTTTACTGGAGCAAGCTAATTGCAGATGGTTTACGAACTGAATTTACATTACACCAGCCGATCTGTCTGCAGAAAATTACTCTGAGCCTCCTGATCGCCAGTGCAGTAAATAACCACGAAACCAGCATCTGCCATTGCAATCTATATTGTCTTATGTTGTTTTGCTAAAACTTCTTTCCTTATTTACGCTATGGACATTAAGATTATCAATACATTTTGTCAGATCTAAAATCAAATGACACGAATTTCGTTTACAGTTCCGCAAATTAAAAGACAAAATAATAGTATCCGTATGTGAAGCAGAAAAAGCGGATCAGTTGAACCTTCAACCATTCCCAATCCCGGGCGGAGAGAATGGCCCTGATACTGGAAACGTTTCTTCTCCTGTTTAAACTTGCGTTCAGATAAAGTTAAAACACACTGTAACTGCTACTGAAAACATATAGCAATGGGACGTAATAAGTAATATCTGTCGTGTTTTGAGAGCAGGTCACAGATTGTAAATGCAACCATTACTTTTTCCAACATATCAGCTGAGCGCAGCTCAGAGTCACCACGCAGATGTCAAATTTAGAGACTGCAGAATCTCCGCACACACCTTCTGTTTCCTTCTCTCTCACACACACACACACACACACGCACACACAATCACACACA